GTAGCTGAATAGTTACAAAGGGTTTGAAAATTATAATTTTTTAAATCTTAAAAATTCTATCAGATCTTTTTTAAATCATCTAATAGATTTCACTCATACATGGAATATAGAGAAAACAAAGGGACAAACCCTAAAAACAGGGCTGCAGAATTGAGGCTATGAGAACAAGAGGCAGGGAGGGGGCTATGGGGAGGAGTAAAAGACCATGTATACTTTGTTGGTGGATGTGGTGTGATGACATACACCTGAAAGGTGTGAGCCTATTCCCCTAAATCATACACAGTGCTATAAACCAATATTGCTTCAATAAAATTTTTTAATAATATAGGGGCCTCCCTGGTGGTGAAGGGGTTAAAGACTCAGTACTATCTAGCTATTGCCAGCCACTGCAGCATGAGTTCGATCCCCAGCCAGGGAGGAGACCTACATGGTGCAGCAAACCTCTCCCATTTAGCCTGCTGCTCCTCTCAGCAGTGTATTTCAGTAGATGCACCTGTTCTGCTACCCACTCTGTCTCTGGTGAATCTTCTCACCATCCATACCTCTGGTCTATACCCCAGTTCTTGTATGCACAAATAAATAAATCTTTTTAAAAAAATCATCTAATAGAGAGGTTCATAGAATTTAAAAGAGGTTTAACTGGAAGGGGCATTTAGAAAGACTGGAGAGAAGAACTCAATCCATTCTCTGTGTCTTTACCTCAAGGCCATGGCCACCAGCTGCAAAATGAAGTTTTCACAACAAAATCCTTTTGATTCACCTTGGAATTTTTATGTTGTCATTTGACAGTCCCCTCCTTCCCATCTATTCACGGCTTATTTTTTATTGTTAAGCCTACAGCTTATTCCTCAATTGAAGTTCTAGAATCAACTAGTCTTGAATGATTCACACCTCTCCTAGGATTTAGTTTATTAATACAATTTTTGCGTATTTATCAATGGTTTACAGTTTTTTTTTCCTTTTAAAAAAAGCAACCAAGAACTAAAACCGAAAAACGGCCTTTTTTTTTCTCCTTTATTTAAATTTTGCCTTCCATTCTTGGGTTATTCCAAATATGTATGTATGTTGCCATCCCCCAAACACTTGATTCTCATACAAAATCAAAAGCCATGGTGTGATTTTTTTTTTCTTGACAGTTAAAACACTCGTTGCATCAATGATAAACCACAATAACATAGCATACCTATCACCACCCATTTGTGCACTAGTCCCTGCAGTGGGAGAACTGTTCTCAATTTCACAGTGTTCCCATCTTTTCTGGAGAGAAACAGGAATTGCTCAGCTACTCAAGTGGAAGGTTGGAAGTGAGGCAGTGGGAGGTGAAAGAAGAAAATTCACCTGCCCAAGGCATCCGAGAACTACGAGGGGGCACAGGGGGCACAGGAGCCACAGGACTTCAGAGTCAAGAGCTTTATACACGACTGTGAACCATCTGGCAGTGTTCTCAGTGGGAGGGGACAGTATGCCATCTGGATCCAGGGAACTGAGGCATAGCTTGCACAAGGGGCTAACAGGAACGCTAGAACCGGAACTCAGCTGCCCACTTCCTGTCCATCCTGTCCTGTCCTGTTACTGGTGTGGGAGGCTGTTCAAGCCACAGTGTACAGCCTCGCTCTGTGGGCTGTTGTGACTGACCCAGATTGGTGTTCCTAGCCCATATGACACACATTTCTCTTTGCTGTTCCAAGGCATTTTTCCTCTTTCACCATCTGTTTTCTAAATGTCCGTGACTCACCTCTGTGAGTCCCGCTCAGCAATTTATAAACGAAAGCTTACCAAGAGTACGTTTAAGAAACTGGTTCTTCTGAGCTAAAGAAACTTCACAAGATAACTTGTTTTGCTTTTTCTAATACAGAGCAGAGTGTCTGTGGGAGTTCAATAAGTAAGATGTGATGATAAAGCCTTCAGAATTTGTACCACCTTCTCCATATATGGCTGGAAATAACTGCTGTCTGTCCTGTCCACCTGTCTTTAGTTTTAGATACTGGTAGAAAAGGTTAACTTTAATTTGCGCAATACTTACAAATACAAATCTAAGGTGCTTTGTCACGTAGCCATCTATGAAAAAGTCCTAACAATAAAATAAAAACTGAAACTTAATGGTATGACAATCTGACACTGGGAGGTTCTCATTTGAAGGAATTCCTCCCTATGTATCCGTGTTGACGTCCTCCTGTGCCAAAGTGATCCACCTGTGTGAACGCCAGTGGCAAGAACTCTGCTATTTTTAAGTCCTCTCAACTTCGACACCACTGGAACTGGGCCTCCATCACCTTCCCTCTAGACAGCCTAGACAGCCAAGCAGTATTTAGTAAAGTACCTAAAAGTGCTAAGTCTCCAGCAGATACTAGCAATAAAATGATAAGCAAAACAGGGTATCTGTGTCTGTCTCTAAAGCATGTAATCTGTGGGAGACACAGAAAAATAAGAAAGCAGCTGGTGTTGGCAGATTAAATCCAGGATGCCCAACACATTTCAATTTGAGATGAACATTGCCTATTTTTTTTAGTGTATTATGTCCCCAAAGTTGCAGAGATATACCAGATTTACTTTTTATTTGAAATTCAAAATTCAGCAGGAGTTTTAAAGTTTTACTAGTTAAATCTGCTAACCCTAAAAACTACCAATAACTAAACATTAGGAAGGAAAAGTGCCGGGGACCACAGAGTATATATTAGGGGGTTATCTTTGCTGGGAGTAAGGATGGGGGGTAACTAGAGGGCTTGATTATGTGGCACATACTGTGCCTAATTTTACACATTGCTTGCTAAATCCATAAGTACAGAAAATTGAAGAGTAGAACCATTAATCTGCTATTGCAAACTACATTCACATTTATTCAATTTTACTAGATTAGCCAAACCTATTACTCATTAATCTTATTTCTCCCATTGACTGACTGTTCTCATTTCTACAATTTGAGTCCTATTATTAGTGTTATTGTTTGAATTGCTTTGCTGTGTATAGTAAAAGCTCTTGAATTGATACTTTACAACTGTATCTCTAATGCAACATTACAAAGCAACACTGATACAATATCTCTGATACAATATCTCTGAAGCAAGTGTGCTTTCTTACCTAGGCTATTCACTATGGTTCTCATTTCTCCAGCACTGTAAATGCAAAATTCAACATTAAGGACATTGATTGAGACTTACAGAAATCTACATCTGTTCTAGTTTTGCAAAGAAGTCTTCAATGGGTGAGAATAAATTCACCATGTATGTACAATACAAACCATATTTTTGTGTTCTCTAAGAATTTGCTGACAAAGATATATGTATCAATATGCATTCCCTTTGGTGACTAACAGTTGAATGTTTTTGCCAAGAAAAACAAAAGATTTATAAAGAGACACAAAAGTAGCATCCTTGGACAAAGTTAGCAGATGTCAGGTAATCCAAAAAGCTCTTGAGAAAGCCATATGAAGTAAGTTCTGACTCAAAGGGAGGGACTGTGTTGACAATATAACCTCTATTTACATTTTCCTCCCTTGTTATTTCTTAAACATTGAACTTTCAAACTTTAGGTCAGATTGGCCAGTTTATTTTTTATTGACTAAATTTGGTTCACATATCTCTATATGTGCATAAAGAGATATATACAGACAAAAAGGGGGTTCCATTCACTGAGCTGTTCCCTTACAATGAGATGCCAGAAAGCTCTTCATGGGACCTAAGATGATGTTCCCACAAAAGTCACCCTTAGCAACCCAGTGGGAGAACAGAAAACGGCTCTCCACCAAACCAGTAAATTTTCTATTTACCACTCTGTTGTTTGTGTTTTAGAAGTACAGAATTTCTCCCTCAGGTTGTGTTACCATACCACACCCACCACCATCTACCATCATAGTATCATAGTCCATATTGCTCCTTCCCCAACCTTGCTCTCAGCCCTCTGTCAGCCCCCTTCAACACAGAACTATAAAACTGTAGCCTTAGTTTTATAGTTCAGCTTTCTAGAGTTCTTAGATTGGTTTTATCTAACCCATAGCTAGTAGCTGCCTTTCTTTTCTGATTTATTTTGCTAGCATAATCTTCTCCAGCTTTATCCATGTTGCTATAGATATCAAGTGTTTATCTTTTTTATAGCTGAGTTGTATTCCATTGTGTATGTAAAGCACATCTTCCTGACTGACTAATCTGTTTTAGGGAAGCAATGGACCTATTTGACCTGTTTTAACTGAATTGAAAGTTTAATTATGAAATCCAGGCCCATCTTTTATGACTCACCTAAGTGAGTTCTAGTTGGTGGGTTTGATTATGGCAGCCATGAAAATATGTAAAAAAAAATTTAAGTATACATATATGTGCATAAAGAGATATATACAGACAAAAAGGGGGCTCCTTTCACTGAGCTGTTCCCTTACAATGAGATGCCAGAAAGCTCTTCATGGGAACCTAAGATGATGTTCCCACAAAAGTCACCCTTAGCAAACCCAGTGGGAGGACAGAAAACGGCTCTCCACCAAACCAGTAAATTTTCTATTTGCCAAGTCACACCGTTTTTAGTGTCTTTGTGACTAATATCAAATGCGATAAAATAATAACACTTATTTTTTCCCTGCCCTATCTGGATGATAGCAGCTGTTCATCAAAATGATTTGCAAACCACAAGTCCCAGATTTAGTAAGCACTCAGAAAGTCTGTCATGTGCAAACCGTTCTGATTACTAATAAATGCAAGCTGGGTATTGACTGAAGTCTCTCCTCCATTCTCTTAACCTTGTTATATTAGGCTCCTTGGCTGGGTCACACAAGATTATTATGAACATCTCACATTGGAACAATTCCAGAAATAGCACACACATGCTGCCGAAAACTGACTGTTCCTCTGTTTCAGTTCTCATTGTAGGAGGTCTGGTCTCCTCAGGGACCAGCAGACCAAACTCCACTATACATTTCAAACCCCAAGAACTGAAGGACACCTACCTTTTTAGAGGCCATATAACTCATAACCCCTTTTCACTTGCATCCATTACAAATAAAAGGAAGGCTGAAAATGATCATTCAGGACGTTCAGGATCCAAAAGCCTCCAGCAAACAATCCTGGGACTTGCCAGTAATGGAAGCAAGCTTTGGGGGCAGGAGAGAGTAGCTTTACCCCTTTGAACTATTCATCTTTTCCTCCAGGTCTTGGGTTCTCTCCCTGAGTTTGTTACAAGTTTTCAATGAACCTGTTGGAAGCCCCAACATAAACAGATACTGTAGGATTGTCTCCTTAACCACAAGTTCTCTGAGGTCGGGGTTGGGGAGGGGAGACAGCACACAGGCCACATGGGGTGTTGCTTTCCCCTCTGGGCAGAACCTTCTAGAATGTAGGGGACTAAGGCCCACGCGGAACTTCTTTTACGGGACTTGGGGGCCACTCACCGCCTGTTTTCACCTCACTTTCCTGGAGCCCCGAGAGCCATCTTAGGAAGCCAGGACAGGAGGGTGGAGGCCAGCAAAGCAGCTGGCGCGAGTGAAGATCACATCTACGAGGGGCGTGGGGGTGAAGTGGAAGATAAAGGCTGGAGAAGCGGCCCCGCTGAGGGGTTGCACCTGCCGGTGGTTCTCCCGGCCCTCCTGAGAGCACGAATCTGAGCAGAGACCCCGTGCTTTCCCCACACTGGGTCCGAGGCCACCATGTTGGCGCCTCCCAGTACCTGCAGCGGGATACACTCTCTTCAGGGGGATGGAGGAGCCCGTGTTTACGAGACACTTAAAATGTTTTTCCTAGGCCAAGAGCTATGTATTTTCTAAAACCGTGGCAATGTGCTGCCTGTCTTTTATGGGCCCAAATCAAGTTTAGGAGACACAAGTACAAAATTACACAGAGTATAAAAAATAAGCAAGAAAAATATGAGTGCTACATGAGAGGGGAGTTCAGGACAGGGTGCCCTCAGTGAGAGTTGAGAAGCTTAAAAGCAGGTGGGACTTAGATAACTAAATGTTCTGGATGGATCAGGGCTTGGGACAACCTGTGATGGAGAAGAGACCCAGCAAAGTGTAAGGAAGACAATCCGTTGGAAACTAATAAACCATAAAGTAAATTTGTTGTTTTGGTAGCGCTGGGTAAACAATCTGATGGAGCCCAGAACAAGGCAAGAAGGATGTTAAGTTGTGGGGGGGGGGGGGGGGGGGGGAACAAATCTGGATAAGCAGGAGACACATTCAGAAAGTGAGATCCTCCTGCCTGCCACTTACCACCCGAGGACATGGTGTTCAGCTTGGACAAACATCTCAAAGACAGAACAAAATAAATCTTCCCAAGGCCCACCAGAATCAGGCTGAAAAGCACCTCACCTGAAGCGCCATGCCTGGACTATTTTGTTCTCAAAGAGCAGCTTTGTTTATGACCCAGATGGCTTCTGTCAGGCCACAGGGGCCCTAGACACACGTCAGGGCTCTCTCCTCCGCTCTGCCTACAGTGTTCTGAAAATCTATTTTTGGAGTATCTAGATTTTTATAGATGCTCTTCTTCCTGTGGGTCATTTCTAGCACCAGGTGAGAAGGAGGGGAGAGTGTAGTTATTAAGAGTCAGGGTTTTGGGGGTGATACTGCAATAACTCAGCCGCAGAATGACAAACACTGATGATTTCACTTATTATGTGGAATATAGAGAAACAAAACAAAGGAACAGACAAAAACAAACAAAGGTCCTTGAAATCTGACCTCAGAATTGAGGTGACCAGGAGGTGAAGGTAAGAATAAAGTGAAAGGGGCCTTAGGGACTGGGGTGGAGGACTGTTTTGGTGGTGGGCCTGGTGTGGGCATGTGTATTTGAAGAGGTATGACGCTACTCCTGAATCATGTACAGTGTTGTGAACTGATGTTATTCAAGAAATAAATTAAAAATAAATAAATTTAAAATAAATTTAATTGAAATCACCTACATTCGAATTCCAGCCGTGCTACTTACCAGTGTTCTGACTTTTGACAAATGTGCCTCCTTTTCTTCATCTACAAAGTCGCATCAACGCTGTGGCTGACATCCTGAGCTGGCTACAGGGATGAAGCAAGATACCCTATGCGTGCAGCACATCTTGAAACGCCTTCACTTTATTCAGCTATCCAGTGTCCTCATAAAGCACAAAACCATGACCAGAAGGAAGTGACCAGTTAACCCCTTCTTCTCATTGGACTTGCTCTGTTTAATTTTCCCATGAAACAAATTCTTCCAATGTTCATCCATCCATGTACTTCTTATCAATCGACAGATACCGAAACTAGCAACACCCTGAAAGATTTCCCTCCTAGTCAGAAAGGAAGTAGGTGGCAGAGCCAGAAATAACATTCAAATTCGGAACCCACTAGACCATATCACCTGTCTGGCAAGTGACACTCTTACTTCCCGCTTCACATGACTGTACAACACCTGATGTTTCTAGAGCAGTGAAAGGACCCCCTCGAGTATTAATTCAAATGAAGCTGCAGTGAGTCGAATGAACTTCCTGCATCACTTAGTGTCTCTGCCGGGTGCTGATTTCTAACAGAGCACCACACTGGGAGGGGGGGGGGTCCAGTCTGCCCCTGGATAAGGGGGGGGGGGGGGGGGGGTCCGGTCTGCCCCTGGATAAAACACACCTAGGACGCCAAAGCAGCCAGAAATGGGCAGCATACCCCTGGAAACAGCTTCTTCAATCCCAAACACATGTTTTGTTAACACCAGAAAGAACACAAAGGGGTCACACACAGACTTTACAAAAAGAAACCGAAGTGAGGCTTAGGGTTAGGGGGAAGCCTATGTTAGAGTTGATAACAAGATACCTTCTTGCAGGTCACTTCCCTTTATGGCACATGGACCCGCCAGGCCCCTGATATCACTAGGCCTGGAAGCTGCTGTCATCATACTATAATCACAGAATCTTCTGGGGTTGCCATCCCCAGTCTTAAAAAAAAAAAAAAAAAAGATTTCAAGGAAATCAAATGTCATCTTGTAATAGGCATAAAAAATCAATTTCAGTAACATAACCCTTTCTCTCTAGCCCAGTCTTCACCATTGTTAGACCTGAGCTAGTAGCTTTGAATCTGCTGGGATTCTATGATCAGTCCCCCTAAAACCCAGGAGCTCATTTTGTCTGACAAAACATAGAGTGGAGAAGAGGAGGGAAGATACTAGAAGGAAGGTGGTGGTGGTGGAGGGGGGGGGAGTCAGAGAGATCCTCCTTAAGTATAGGCATGGCAAAACAGAATGCACATTTTTTTTTCAAATTTCACACTATTTCTTATCATTCTTATTTAAAAAAAAAAGATTATTGATGTTCACAAGAGTTGAGGTGTAGGCCAGTGGTGCAGGAAGTGTGAGATGATTCAGCTGAGAGAAGAGTGGGGAGCAGAGCAAGCAGATCTACTGAAATACACTGGTGAGGGGAGCAGCAGGAGGGTCAGGAGAGGTATGCTGCACCCTGTGGGTCAGCTTCCTGGCTGGGGATCTAACTCATGCTGCAGTGGCTGTGGATACCTTCATAGTGCTGCACCACCAGGGAGAGCCCATTCTTATTTCTTACAGTATCCTCCACAGTGCCTTGATATTTATTTGTCTTTAGTTGCCTCCTTTGTGGTAAGCTTTAATAAACAAACATAACTTCCTGATGATGACATTTTTTTATGAAGACACTATCCAAGAAAGAAAAGGACTGGGAATTTCAGCCACCGATGAGTCCTATTCTGAAAAGGATTAACACAGGCGTGAATACTTTGAAAGGAAATTGGCAATGACTCCAGAGGGAGGTGCAAATAAAGCACATCTTGGAGATTTTTCCACGATAGGGACGAGCTGAAGGAGAATCACCTTCCTGATCTACCTGTCCTTGCTCCGTGTCCCAGGAGACTAACCTCTATTGACAGCAACAATCTGGCTGCCCTGTCCTCTGATTTTCCATTGACCTTGGCCAGAAGGAGGTGCCAGCAGAGGAAAGACCAACAGGAGGGGAAAGAGCCAAGATCTTTATTCAGACCTGATGGGAAGGTCCTCACTGGCCTCCTCCCTCCCTCAGCCCTTGACAGGATGACAGTGATCTCCTAAGATGACTCTCTTCTATCCTGCCCATCCTTCATGGTGGACTTCTTTACAGTATGAACTTAGAACAAACGCACCATTTGCTAAGGGACCCTGATCTAGACGCTTAGAGTCTCTGGATTGGTCAAGTTCATTTCCATGGCCCAAGCTGGCTGTCATCCAAATAACACCCAAAGAGGTCTGATGTTTACTCTCAACTTATGTGTTGCCTTTCCCTCTGGCTAAGTTTGTACAGCTGATTCAAAGAAAGAGAGATGATTAAGAAAGAGGGAAAAAACCCTCCAAACTTTCGGAAAATTTTGATCAAGCGATTGCCACATTGTTTCCACAGAGGCTGTATCAACTTAACATCTCACCAATAACCTGTGAGCCCTTGGGCTCCCCACACCCTCACCAACAGTGCCCTGGTTGGTCTTTGCCAATCTGATAGGTGAGCCCAGCCTCTCATTCACATTTGCCTTTCTCGCATTGTGAACATGGTTTCATGTGTTCAAGGCCACTTGTATTTCCTTTTCTGTGTTCTAGTTGTCTATATATTTTTTTAACAGTCTTGACTTTATCAACTTAAGAATCTGTATATATTAGAATTTTGTCCCTTCTCATATGAATTATAAATGCATTTTTTAATAATTTGTCGTTTCTATTTCTTGTTTATGAGGTTTTTGCCACACAGATAGAGTCAAAGCACAATGTGTGTGATTTCTGAGTTTGGGCTAATGTTATAAAGGCTGCTTTACCTCCAAAATAATAAATACATTCTCCCAGGTTCTTTTCTGGGAGATATACTTACAGTTTATTTGGGGTAGAGGGAAACAAATCTCCACCTTTCTCATTTTTCAGGTGACCCAGGAATTTCATATGTCTATCCACTTTTCTCTAAGGATTAACCTTTCAGATATACTTGCACATAGTTACAAAGTTAAATGTACATATATATTTTATCAGAAGATTAGTTGGAATGGCAAAATTACGAAAGACAACCTGTGCATTTCTCTGGGGATGTTTGTATAAATTACAGCTTATTGCATGCTGAAATAAAATACAATTATTTGAAAGAAAGAGTTTCTATGAGTACTGATATAAAATTCCAAAGTGATATGGTCAAGTTATGAATCAATCCTTAGTGGAATAATAGTTTTTTAAAAAAGAACATATATACAAACACAAAACAAAACACAAATACACATGAATACAGATGAAACTGGTGACAGTGATAACCTTGGGAAGCAAAATTGGGGAACCAAGGAACAGGGATTTAACAGAGATTTACTTCTGTATATTTTTACACTGTATTCAAATACAATATTACTAATTTTTAAAATGAATTAAAGAAAAAACAGATTTTAATAACGAAGTCATTATGTTTTGATGAATGGTTTATTATCATATAAAGTACTTTTGTAAGAAAGCACCATTCACAGTACTGAAACCAACCCCTAAGTTCCAAACACTTTTTTTAATACAGAAATGAAAATGTGGATCAGTAGTACCCTCTGCTGGTTAATCATTGAAATTCAGTGAGTCAGAAACCAGTATATTTTAGTAATACTAACCATTTATCGTAGGTTGTTTGTGATTACTACCATGTCCTCAAAGAATATAAAACATTTTGAGTCCTATTTTAAAATATATCACAGGATAACTGTATAAAGTTACAAGAATCACACATTTTTTAAGCAGTCCACAGCTTTTTAACTGTGTGGAGACCTCTACTTTGAATGATATAGGATTATTGAGACTGAGATAGTCACTATTTTTAACAATGGTTACACCAATTTGCATAGATTCAATCACCACTGTGTATGTTTGTCTTGTCAGTCTATTTTAACGATGTCTGCCTCTGCTAGAATTCATTTAGTCAACATGCTGAGTATGGGGCATTTTTCAAGCATGTCATGATTCAGGGTCTAATTGTGAGCAAAATACACAGCTTCCTTCCTCCTTTACTTCCTACTAAAGGGCACGTGAAACTAACATAATTCATCAAAAATGTAGCATATTATGGTCTAAGAAACATTAAAGAAAAAAATAGGAAAATGTGAAGGAAGAGATTGGATGGAGAGTTGCAGTTGTTGATGGGATAATCTGGAAAGGACTCATCAGAGGTGATTTGAATGACGACATAAAGGAAGTGGAGGGCCAGAGGAGATATGTGGAAATGCATCCAGGCAAAAGAACAAGTGCAAAGGTCCTGAGGTAGAAGTTTGTTTGGCCTGTTAAAGAAATAAGGTGGCTATCATGGCTGGAATGAAGTAAATATAGAAAAGTAAAGGGCAATTTATATAATGACTCTAGTTATAAAGGACACTGACATTTACACTGAGTATCACTGCAAGGTTTTAAGCAAAGCAGAGATGTGCTCTGAATAAACAAATAAACCAAGAGTTAAAAATAGAAATGGTGAGACTGATTGCATGTATATAGCAATAGTTCATGGAGAATTTCAGATGAGACAGAATGTGCTGACCGACCAAATGTGGGATATGAGACTAAGAGAAGAATCAAGAATAACTGCAATATTGTTACCTGAGAGACTGGAGGAATGTAACTGTGGTTAACTCAGATGGTTTAGAAGGGATGAATCTCAGGAATTCAGCTTTAGAATGATGAGTTTAGCATAGACACAGAGAACAACAGGTTGGTGGCTGCCAGAGGCAATCGGTGTGGGAAATGGAAGAAAATTATCAAAGTTTCAGACCTTCAGTTATAAAATGAGTAAGTCACAGAGCTGTAACACATAGCATGGTGATTATAATCAACAATACTGTATATTGGAAAGTTGCTAAGAGAGTAGATCTTAAAATTCTCACCATAAAGAAAACATGCGAAGTGATGGATGTTAACTGGACTTGCGAGGATCTTGTGATATGGACAAATACCAATCATGTTATGTATAGATTGTATCTCAAATGTTAAAAAGAAACTAAAAGAAGGGGGAAAGAAGAAAGTTGAGTTTGAAATGCTTTTTCAATATTCAAGTGGAGGTTGTCAAATAGGCTGCTAAAACTACATGCTGTAGATTCAAGTAGAGATTGGGACTGGAGCAATAAACCTGAGACCCAGCATGATGGGGGCATGTGAGCTGCAGACCAGCACAGCTCTCCAGGGAGTGAGTGTGCATAGAAAAGAGAAGGTCAGTTTGAGTACCTTCAAGCTATGTATCTCCATATAACTTTCCATAGTGGTTGTACCAGTTTGCATTCCCACCAGCAGCGTAGAAGAGTTCCTTTTTCTCTGTACTCTCACAAACATTTATTGTTTTGCTTGTTTTTTTAATATGTGTCATTCTCACTGGTGTGAGGTGGTATCTCATTGTGGTTTTAATTTGCATTTCCCTTATTACAAATGATGCTGAACATTTTTTCATATGCTTGTTGGCCATATGCATTTCCTCTTTGGAGCAATGTCTTTGTAACTCTTCTGCCCATTTTTTGAGATGGGGCTGTTCACTTTATATTTGTTGAGTTTTGTCAGATTTTTGTATATCTTTGTGGTCAGTCCTTTGTCATTCATATTATGTGTGAAAATTTTCTCCCAGTGGGGTATCTGTTTGTTTTATGTAGTATCTCTTTTGCTAAAAATGGAGCTTTCATATGATCCAGCAATTCCACTCCTAGGTATATACCCAAAGGACACAAAACCAATAATTCAAAAGGACACCTGCACCCAATGTTTATGGCTACACTACTTACAATAGGGAAGATGTGG